TAGATTCTGAACTTCCTCAAAGCAGTGGCTGCATCCGGCTGTGTCACCATGATTTCAACTGTCTGACATTAGGGTGAACACAACAGGTGCTCAGTTAGTCTTACGTGAATGAATGGATGAAGGAATGAATCCATAAGCATCACCCCCTCTTTGCAAAACAGAAATAATCAACTAAATAACTGAAGCATAAGGGGACACTTAAGCATAGTGTTCGTGTAAAATTCTTGAAATGTTCATAAGCAAAGCAGAATTTCAATATAAAAAATGCACTTCCACACGAGCATGAACAAATTACCATAAATATTTGCTTGATGTGACTCACTCTGACTGGTACAACCACGTAATCTGCCTGAAATGAACCCAGAAATAATGGACCCCAGTGAGTTAGATACCACAAGGCAGTTTTGTGAGCAATCAAAGACCCAGCAAGTATCAGCTGTGTTTCATCCCCACACCAGGAATGAAACAGGGGTCTGAGTAAACCCATGAACATTGCACTGAACTGTCTTGCCCAGGTACTAACCAGGTCTCCTACCCTGAGGAAGGCACCTACCTTCCCTGGGCCTCAGCTTCCTGTCTCAAAAGGAAGAGGGTAGGTGACCTCAAGGTCCCTCTGGATGGTAAGGAGAGACATTTCAAGACGTCCCAGGGTCAGCAGCTGATCATCATACACACATGAGCCCTGTCCACGAAGGTTCACCATTACCACACTTGGATACTCATGTCACTGCCATAGTTCTGTGGGCTTTGTAGGGTCAAGGGAGGGTATAGCCTGCCCCTTTCAGGATGAGTCCGCTGCTTTAGAAAATTACCATCTACTTAGTCACTATCAGAGGTACAATAACAGTTCACAATTTGTACTGGGTGGGGGAGCCCTCTGAGATCATCTGGCCCCAGCCCAATGTAGAAGACATGAGTTGGAGTCTTACAGACAGCCAGCTAGCGACTAGAGCTGGCCTAGAACCTGGGAGCCTGAAGTCATCCTGTTGTGACTGGCCAGGGTCTCTGATGATCTCCAGACACTCATTCCCTCTCTGACACTCACAGGAGGTCCCCAGTGGGAGACCAACTGAGAAAATGTAAGTGAA